CTAGCCCTTCTCTTCTTCCTCCCCCAACCCCCAGGTCCGTAAAACCACACAAGCTTTTCCTTCACCTCCACATCTGTCCCAAGTCACCAGACCCTCACGAGTGCATCCTTCGGGGGGAAAATGAAACCGGGAAACGTTGGTGATTTCTCCAGTTTAGTCTATTGCTCATACTATCACACTAAGTGATTTTAAAGGCTTGATTGTTAGTTTCATTTTTGGTTGTTGTCTTAACTGGCTACCTTGACACCTGGCAGCTCAGCTTTCTCCTGCTCAGCTGAGCTTCTGACAAATTGGTGTAACAGGCAGGGTCATCAGTGGACTCAATGGCTAATTTTGTGTGTCATCTTGCCCGGGCTATGGGGTGCCCTGATATTTGCTCCAATGTTATTGTGGATGAGTGTGGGGAGGTGTTTCTGGATGAGATTAACATTTGAATCAGTGGACCAAGTAAAGCAGATTGCCCTCCCCAATGTGGGTGGGCCTCATCCAATCTGTTGAAGGCCTGAAGAGGACAAAAATGCTGAATAAAGAAGAATTCACTCCTTCTGCCTGACTGTTGTTGACCGGGGCCATTGGTAGTCTCCTGGCTTCAGGCTGTACCATCGGCTCTCTTGGGTCTCTAGCCTGCCAACTGCAGATCTTCTTAGACTCCATAATCTTGTGATCTGATTCCTTATAATAAATCTCTTTATTATGAGATGGATGGAGGGAGGAGGAGAAAGAGAGAGAGAGAGACTATATATTACCTATCCATATATCTATGTGTCTATATCTATATCTATATTATATATATACCGAACAGAATGATTGCTGGGTCATTTTTAATTTTTTTTTTTTTTTTTTTTTTTTTTTGAGACAGAGCCTCACTCTGTTGCCTGGCTAGAGTGCTGTGGCATCAGCCTGGCTCGCTGCAACCTCAAACTCCTGGGCTCAAGTGATCCTCCTGCCTCAGCCTCCTGAGTAGCTGGGACTACAGTTGTGCACCAAGATGCCTAGCTAATTTTTCTATTTTTAGTACAGACGGAGTCTTGCTCTTGTTCAAACTGGTCTTGAACTCGTGAGCTCAAGCGATCCTTCCCTCTTGGCCTCCCAGAGTGCTAGGATTGCAGCCATGAGCCACCATGCCTGGCCCATTTTTAATTTTTTAAGGAAGCTCCATACTGTTTTCCATAATGGCTCCACCAACAGTGTGTAAGAGTTTCCTTTTCTCCTCACCTTCATCAATACTTATCTCTTGGTTTTTTTTTCAATAATTGGCACATAATAATTGTACACATCTGTGGGGTACAATGTGATGTTTCAACACATGTATAAACTGTGTAAGGATCAAATCAGGGCAATAGCTTATCCATCAGCTTAAATGTTTATTATTTTTTGTGATGAGGACATTCAAAATCTTCTCTTCTTGCTATTTTGAAATATATAATACGTTATTGTTCACTCTAGTCATAGCCAAATTGGATAAAAGACCTAAATGTAAGATCTGAAACTACAGAACTCTTGGAAGAAAACATAGGTGGAAAGCTCCCTGATATTGGTTTTGCCAATGGTTTTTTTTTTTTTTTTATATCAAAGCAAAAGCTCAAACAACAAGAGGAAAAACAAGTAAGTTGGACTATGTCAAACTAAAAAGCTTCCCCACAACAAAATGGAAAGGTAGCCTATGGATCAGGAGAAAACACTTGTAAACCTTCTGATAATCTGATGAGGATCAATATCCAAAATATATAAGGGACTCACACAACTCAATATCAAAACAAGAAAAGAACAAAAATAACCCAAAACCGATTAAAAAATGGTCAAAGGACCTGAATAGACATTCCTCCGAAGAAGACATAAAAATAGCCAACAGATATACGAAGGCATGCTCAACATCATTAGTCTGCAAGGAAATGCAAATTAAAACCATAAAGAGACATGACCTCACACCTGACCGAATTGGCTATCATCAAAAGTTACGTGTTTTCTGTGGCTCAAAACTGGAAACTCCCCAAATGTCCAACATCAGATCAAAGGATAAATATAGTATGGTATATTCACACAGCAAAATGTTACACAGAAATGACGATGCTCTACCTACAACTTCATACATCTCTAAACATCTGTCTAGTGTCGTCTTTGTCAAGAACAGACTATATAGTAATTTCCACTAGCTGCTGTCCATGAGGAACAGAAGAACAATTTAAAATGTTTTAAATAGGAAATGTATTCTGGACCATGGGACTAACACAGATCGATACGTGGTCACTATTTGTTAAAGTTGATGAAATTTTTAAAATGTCAACTTGAGTCTGAGTGTTTTATTTGTTCTTTAGTTGAAGTATTGCGATTTTTTCTTTTTTTTTTTTTTTTTGAGATAGAGTCTTGCCCTGTGGCCCCTGGCAGAGTGCAGTGACATCATCATATCTCTCTGCAAGATAGCAGAGTCACGCAGCAGAAGCATGCTGGGCCCATAGCTCTCTGCAACCTCAGACACCTGGGCTCAAGCAATCCTCCTGCCTCAGCCTTCCAAGTAGCTGGGACTACAGGTGCGCGCCACCACATCTGGCTAATTTTTCTATTTTTGGTAGTGATCCTCCCCCTCCAGCCTCCCAAAATGCTGGAATTACAGGCGCGAGCCACCCATCCTTGGCCTGGATCTGATCTTTATTTGAAATATTTTTTACAACTTGTTCATCATGGATTTTTTTCTTGCATTTACTTTTTGATTTTTTAAAAAAACATTGCATGGGAATATTTGTCTTGATAATGGAGTTTTAAGATGACCCCTTGAAATTTGCACCTGAGGTACAAAATGCTATTACTCATAATAATAAAAGCCTTGAGTTTCAGCAGGGTCCATGGCTACTCAGACTGAAGACTACATTTCCCAGGTTCCCCCTCCTGAGTCATATGACTCTATGTGGTCATGTGACTAAGTCCTTACCAATGGGTTGTGAGTGAAATTGATTACTTCTCTTAAACGGAAGGACAGTACATGACTTTCACTTTTTCACCTTCTAGGTGCCTCAAACTTGGCCATCTTGTATTATGCAGACAAAGGCATTACCCTTGATGTGTCACGGGCACAAGAGAGAAAGAATTTGGGCTCCTGAAGACTTTACACAGTGTAGATGACATACCAGCCCAGACTTTCATGTAGGAGAAAAGTGTTTATTGTTGCTTTCTTTTGCACCCAACTCTCCCAGTCCTGCTGGTTTGTGGGATGGAGAAGGGAACAGGAATGGTGGAGTGGGGAATGCAGAGACAGAGATGTCTCCCAGATGAAATCCCAGTAACAGGAGGGAAGCTGTGTAGTGAAGGGGGAAGCTCTAAGCTGAAGGGTCTTGGTCCCTTTCTTGTTTAGAGCTCTGGCAATGATAACACCAATTGTGGCAACTTGAGGTTAACCACAGCAAAGAGAAAGAGGAGAGGCAGCTGTGCGAAGAGGAAGCCCGAGTGGGCACCTTCAAGCTGTCCTCAGCTCCCAGGGGCATGGAAGGGAGGCAGAAGTTTCTAAGTGTCTCGTGGGGAAAGAAGACTGCCAAAAATCAGCCTAGTGTACTTGAGGCGCCCCTGAGAGGGTCAAGTGATCTTACTTCCTGTGCCCCACCTGCACCCTGGACCTCTCCCCTCAGCTTTCTGCCCTGCGCAGAGCTCCCGACCCCTGTCACTCAGAGGAAGAGAAATAGCGAGAGAAGTAGGAAGTGAATTGGCAAGGGCAGGGGACGTCTTGTCCACAGCCTCAGCTGTAGAGTCCACAGGTAGGGGAACGTCCTAGCTTCCGAAGGCCTCTTCCTCAAAAATCAAAAAAGATGCCCCCAACCTGCAGCAGAACTGCACAGACTAGAGCGAGATTGATCGATTAGAGCCCAGCTCAAGTCACCCAATGAGTCAGGTGGTCAAGTCTAAGCTCTTCAAGGACATGAGGCAAATCTCCATTGCAACCCAGGCACCTGCCCCCCAAAAGCTCCTTGCTGGGAGAACCAAGCTGGCAGACACCCTCTCTCAGCCACCTGCTATGGACAATCGAAATATTAGTAACAGCGTCACCCACTTATTTCCCCAGACCTGGAATTTAGGGGCTTCCGTGAAAGAAATTCCTTTAGGAGTGGGAATTCCAGGGAGTGCATGCTGATTACCTGGGTCCCAAGGATCCTGGACGTATGTGACTTCCTTCTTTCACCTGCCCACTCCCCAGCCCCACAAATACCATTGGCTCAAGCTCTGAAATCTCTCCTGCTTCCTTCCATCTCCTTGTTAGGCCCCCAGCCTCAGCCCATCCGATGCAGGGCCCACCCTCCTGCAATGCGACCTCATCATAACCTAATGACATGCGCAAAGACCCTGTTTCCAAACGAGGTTCCGAGCGGACACGAGTTAGAACAGGAGGCCTGTTCAAGAATGCAGGGAGGAGGAAACTGATGCGCTATGGCAGATGTTTTTAAAGAGCCAGCTGCATCGGTGATCGATCCATAGTGCATCACTTCCACTCTCACGCCCTCCGGCGGGGCAGTCACCTGGCCCCACCTGACTGCCAGGGAGGTCGGGGACATGGAGAGGAACGCGTGGATATTTGGGGAGCGCTCCCAATTCCTGCCTGCTTGCTGCATCCTTAGTCCCTGGCAGCACACTGTCTAATCCCTAATAGATGTTTTATAAAGGTTTGTTGATTGAATGAATGAATGAACCAGCACCGGGAGGGGGAAGGGAGGAGACAAATGGAAAGATCTGGACGTCCCCTGCCTGTGGGGCAGGGTGGGGCAGGCACCTCCCAGGCCCACCCAGCAGCTGCCCTGCCCCAACCGGGGACATAGCAGGGAGGGGATTTCCCTGCGCAGAGAGCAGCTGGAATCCCTCCCCCGCCCCCTGCCGGACATCCCCAAAGAAGGGCGGGCTGGTGCCCTGCAGGTTTAAACCAGCAGATGCTGAAGCGCGCTCTGAGAGGGTGAAGTTTCCTTCTCTCTTCCTGGCAGCCCTTCGCGTCCCGGCCCTGCCTGCACCGGCTGCAGCCGCCAGTGATGCCCGAGGACGGCTCCGGCTGCTCCGTGCGCCGCCTGCCCTGGCTGTGCGGCATAAAGACTCTTTCTAGCCTGTGTTGTCTTATGGTGATCGGCTCCAGCTTCGTCTGCTCCCTGGTCCTCCTAGTGAGCCAGCAGCAGCGGCCGCAGCAGCTCGAGCCACCTGGGGTGAGTCGAAAAGGAGGGGTGGCCAGGCGGGGTGCACACCTGCCACCTGCTCGCCCAGCCTGGGAACCTGTGGGCTGGGGAACCCGGCAGAGGCGCGGAGAGCGGCGGGGGGCGGTGCGCTAGAGCGCAGACTGACAGCATCGGAATGGGATGGGTTTAAAAGGAGAGAGAGAGAGAAAGAAAGGGAGGAAGGGAAGGAAGGAAAAAGAAAATAAATCAGCCGGGCGTGGTGGTGGCACCCGTAGTCCCAGCTACTCGGGAGGCTGAGGCAGGAGGATCGCCGGAGCCCAGGAGGTGGAGGCTGCAGTGAGTGAGCTACGATCGCCCCACTGCACTCCAGCCCGGGCGACAGAAAGAGATCCTGCCTCTTAAAAAAAAAAAAAAGAAAAAGAAAAGCCAGAGCGACGACCTGCTGGCACAGAGAGAGACCCGCGCAGGGAGGCCAGGCCGGGGCAGGACGCCCCGGGAGGGAACGGGGCATCCCGGGGTGGGAAAAGGTGCGTCCGACGTGGCCGTGGAAGATGACTCCCTGGTGTTTCCCGGGCGGGCTGACTCAGAGGCTGCCGGGGGCTTCACGACGCGGGGAGCGGGGGCTTCCTGGGACAGGACGCGCGGGCCGGGCTGGGAGTCCCTGCGGAGGCCCTGCGGGCCGGGAGGCTGCGGTTCGCTCGCTCCGGGTGATGTCCAGGAAAACTAGGAAGTTCTGAAAGTCTTGTCTTCGACGTTCCCCCGCCGGTTCAAACCTAACTTCCCCTTTAAGAAATCTTTTTTTTTTTTTTCTTTTTAATCGCAAATCCGGGAATGGGATGAGGGTTGAGTAGGAAGGTGAAGCGAGAAGAGAGACACACACCCCCGCACCCCCCTCGCCCACTGGCTTAGGGGGACACTTAAAACCTCCGTGTTTAAGTCCTTGCTCTGTTTTCTGGTCTTTTCTTCCAGTGGGACATAGCTGAGCTCCAGCTGAACCACACAGGTAACCTGGGGCTCGCGTGGGGGCGGGGAGGAGAGACAGAGACAGAGAAGGAGGGACAGAGAGAGAGGGGGAGGGGGGAGCACGTGCCAGAGAAAGGAAACAAAGGCAAGAAAGAGCGAGGAGGAGCCGGGGCAGGTGGTCACCCACTGCGCTGCCCTCTCAGTGCCTCCCCCTGGGTCTGTTCTCTTGGCATCTTCCAAAACCACCAAGACAACAGCCCACCCACACCGTCCTCCGTCCATGCCGCAAACATGAACTGAGTGAGCATCTGGGGGGGGCGGGGGACAGGCACTGTTCCCGGTGCCACAACAGTGAACCAAACAGGCAGAAATCCCTGCCCTCCGGCCCTTCCTTTCTACTGTCCGGGAGATAAAAAAATAATAATAATAATAAGCGAACAAGTCAAATATGTTAGCAACACCAGGTCGAGTCAAAGAGGCAAACTGTGTGTTTTGGAGAGAAATTAAGCAAGGCTGGGGGCAGGGTGCTGGGATCCAGGCATGCCAGGGTGCGGGTTGCTGTTTACATTGGAGGCGTGGGGGAGGGGAAGGGGTGCCGGGAGGGTGACACCGGTGAAAAGACTTGGGGGGAGGGGGGAGGGCGTGAGTCATCTGCCTGTCCAAGGGAGGCTCTTTCCCTCCCTCCCCTCCAACTAACCCTCTCCCTCTTCTGGGCTCCCACAGCTCCTGACCAGAGATCCGAGGTTTGGGTGCTGTGTTCGGCCCATTTGATAACAGAGGGGGCTTTCTTTTCTCTCTCTTCTCTTCGGATCGCTGGCCTTCTCAGAGCCCCTGCTGTGTGTGTGTCTCTTTCTCTCTGTCTGTGATATTTTCCCTCTAATTTGTTCTCGAGGTCTCTCTCTTATGAAAGCGGCTGTACATTCTAGCCCTGCCCTGATTCCGCTCCACGCAACGTGGCCGTGGCTGTGTATGCACAACATGCCTTTCACAGGATACTTCTTTGCCCTGGCGGATGGCCTGATTCTTAAGCGTCCAGCCGGCGACCAGGTGTCCCCCACCACCACCAGCAGGAAACTTGTTTATCTCAGCAAACACCCTCCGATTTGTGTTCAGTGTATTCCTACCAAGACGGCCACTCTGTAGGAGAGCCTGAGAGGACACTTAGGTCGGGGCGTGTGGATCCGGTGGGGTTAGGGTTAGGGTTAGACACAGAGGAAGCCATGGGTCAAAACACGTGAAATAACAGAAGTAGTTTATTACTTACAGACCCCAGAGAGAGGAGGGCCAGCAGGAAGCGGGGAGCCCGCTGGGACGCACGCACACACACACACACACACACACACACCTCAACCAGCGAGTGGGGAGCAAGAGAGAGCATGGAAGGGGATGCATGAGCCAAAGCTTTTATTAGGGTTCAGGGCATTCCCCAAGCGGGTTTCCGGCAGGGAATTGTAATGGTTAGGGGTAGCGGCTGGAGGCGTTCTGAAACTGAGAGTGCTCACTGCGGGGGAAACCACACAATCTGAGCAGAGTATGGGGTGAGTCAACGAGGCTGTATCCAGGGGCCGACCAGGGGGTGGTTGTTGCATACAGCAGGTGTACCGGATCGATAACATTGAGGAACTGGGAGGGGGCAGAGAACTGTAAACTGTCACACACTCAGCCCTGCTTCTGGAGTGAAAAAACTAAACACACTCAAATTGGATGCCAGGCGAGACAGCATTATAGGAATTCACTACACACACACACACACACACACACACACACACACACACACACACATGCTTTGTCTCTGCATCTGTCTCTCTTTCTCCTCTCTCTCTATATATCCCTGCCCCTGTCCCTCTCTGTCCTTGTCCCTTCCTCCCTCCCTTTACATTTCTAACCCTGTATCCCTTCCTCTAACACGCTATCCCTAGACCCCACTCTCTCTATGACCAGGGGGTCCCTCAGTTTCCCAAAACCTCCATCCTCCCCTCCCTGAACCCTGTGCCCCCAGGACCTCGGCAGGACCCCAGGCTGTACTGGCAGGGGGGCCCAGCCTTCGGCCGCACCTTCTTGCACGGACCAGAGCTGGACGACGGGCAGCTGCGTGTCCACCGCAAGGGCATCTACAGGCTGCACATCCAGGTGACACTGGCCAACTGTCCCTCCAGACAGACCACCATGCCCCGCAATGCCACCCTAAGCGTGGGTATCTGCGCCTCCGCCACCTACAGCCTGATGCGCCTCCCCTTCAACCAAGATTGCACCGTTTCCTCCCAGCGCCTGACGCCTCTGGCCCAAGGGGACACCCTCTGCACCAACCTCACTCTGCCGCTGCTGCCCTCGCAAAATGCTGACGAGACCTTCTTTGGCATTCAGTGGGTGCACCCCGGAGCATAGCTCCTGGTTTAGGTTGGTTGTTTGTTTTTTTTTCCCCCTCTGTTTTTCTATAATTTTTTTTTTTTTTTTCTGTTTTATCCTTGGTTTATCTGCCTGCCAGGACAGAAAACAGCTTACCTGGGTGGCTGTGTCTCAAAGCAAAAGATGCAAATAACCTACCCAGTCTTCCTTAAAGCCATCCAGATCATCAAAAACAAGGCAATTTGAGAAACTGTCACCACCCAGAGGCACCTAAGGAGACGTGATGGCTAAATGTCATGTGGGATCCTGGGTCAGAAAAAGGACATTAGGTAAAAACCAAGGAAATATCAATAAAGTGTATACTCTAATTAATAACATATCAGTTTTAGTTCATTAGTTATAACCAAACTAAGGTAAGATATTATCTTAGTCCTTTCCAGCTGCTATAACAGAATACCTCAGACTGGATGCTTTATAAACAACATAAACTATACATTTTTTTTGTAGAGACGGGGTCTTGCTATGTTGCCCAGGCTGGTCTTGCACTCGTGGCCTCAAGTGATCCCCCTGCCTCAGCCTCCCAAAGTACTGGGATTACAGTTATGAGCCACCACCCAGACTGTATTTTCTTTTCTGTAAAACCATGTATATACGCTCTTTTTTTTTTTTAATTGTGAAATTCGCATGACATAAAATTAGCGCTTTCAAAGTGAACAGTTCAGTGGCGTTTAGCACATCCACGATGTTGGGCAACCACCACCTCTGTCTAGCTCCAAAGCATTTTCACCACCCCAAAAGGAAACTCCGTATTCATGAGCAGTGGTTCCTCATTTCTCCCCCTCCCCCACCCCCGTCCCTGGCCGTCACCAATCTGCGTTTCATACCTATGGATTTATCTATTCTGGAGGTTTCGTGTAAACAGAATCATACAATTTGTCCCTGTATCCAGCTTCTTTTACTTAGCGTAATGTTTTGAAGGTTTATCCAAGATGTAGCACGAGTCAGTGCTTCCTTCCAGTTTATGGCCGAAGAATATTTTATTATATGTGTATATCAGGTTTTGTTTATCCATTCACCATTGATGGGTATTTGGGCTGTTTCCACTTTTTCGTTAGCGCAAATAATGCTGCTACGAACATGTGTGTAGGTATGCTGGTTTGAGGCCCTGTTTCAATTTTTTTGGGTATATACCTAGGAGCGGAATTGCTGTATCATCTGGCGATTCTATGCTTAACTTTCTGGGGAAGGAACCACTGAACTATTTTCCAACGTGTGCGCTTTTTACCCGCATTTTTTTTTAATTGGGTTGTCAGTGTTTTGCTTATTGTTGTGTTCGAAACTTCTATATATTAAGGAAATTATTCCTTGAGCTGTAAATGAGTTGCAAGTTATTTTTTTCAGTTTGTCTCTGAATTTTTTTTTCTAGTTTGATTGAGGTATAATTGAAATGCAGCAATTATATATATTGAAGCTGTACAACTTGGTGCTTTGATATACCTGTACTTTGCAAAATGATCTCTGCAATAAAGCTTGTTAACATATCAGCTCATCTAGTTTACTGTTTTGTTTCTTTTTTTTTTTTTTTTTTGGTATGGTGAGAACACTTAAGATCTCTTAGCAAATTTCAAGTATACAATACTGTATTTTTTACTGATGCATAATAAATGTACATAGTTTCAAGGTACAAGTGATCATGTAATGCATTCATTTAACTTGTAAATATCAAATCAGTGTACTTGGAATCCATCACCTTAAATACTTGTCCTTTCCTTATACTAGAAACATTTCAACTCTTCCCTTATAGCTATTTCATAATATACAATAGATTACTGTAGGGCTGTTTGCAGTGGCTCACGCCTGTGATCCCAGCACTCTGGGAGTCCGAGGTGGGAGGGTTGTTTGAGCTCAGGAGTTCGAGACCAGCCTGAGCAAGAGCAAGACCCCATTTCTACTAAAAAACTAGAAAGAAATTAGCTGGACAACTGAAAAATACATATATAAAAAAAAAAAAATTAGCCGGGCATGGTGGCGCATGCCTGTAGTCCCAGCTACTGGGGAGGTTGAGGCAGAAGGGTCACTTGAGCCCAGGAGTTTGAGGTTGCTGTGAGCTAGGCTGACACCACAGCACTCTAGCCCAGGCAACAGAGTGAGAGTCTGTCTCAAAAAAAAAAATAGATTATTGTAAACTATCGTCACTCTACTTGATCTAACACTAAGACTTATTTCTTCTATAATACGGTATTATTAGCGATCGTCACCATGCTGTATATTAGATCTCCAGAACTTACTCATGTTGTATAACTGCAACTTTTTACCCTTTGTTCAACATCTCCCCATTTCCCTCATTCTTACCCCGAATGTGGTATCTACCATTCTACTCTCTGCTTCTGTGAACTCAACTTTCTTAGATTCCACATAAAAAGGAGACTATATAGTAGCTGTCGATCTATGTCCGGCCGGTTTCAGTGACAATGTCCTTCAGGTTCATTCATGTTGTCACAAATAACAGGATTTCCTTCTTTTTTTAGGGCTGAATAATATCTCATTGTATGTATATAACGTATTTTCTTTATCTATTCTTATGTCAATGGACGCTTGGGTTGTTTTCATATCTTAGGCTGGTCTCAAACTCCTGAGCTCAAATGATCCTCCCACCTCAGCCTCCCAGACTGCTAGGATTACAGGCGTGAGCCACCGCGCCCGGCCCTACAATAATGCTGCAATGGACATGGCAGTGCAGACAACTCTTCAAGATTCTAGTTTCATTTCCTTTGCTTACACGAGGGCTGTCCACGAAGTATCCAGCCATGTAACCGTTCTCATTATATTAACAATGGCTGGATACTTTCCCGACAGCACTCGTATACCCAGAAATGAGATGACTGGATCGTATGGTTGTTCTAGTTTTAATTTTTTGAGACATCTCCCTAGTATTTTCCATGATGGCCCCACCATTTTACATTCCCACCAACAGCGTACAAGGGTTCCCTTTTCTCCACATCCTCACTGAACACCTGTTGTCTTCTGACATTTTGATCATAACCATCCTGACAGATACGAGGTGATATCTCATTGTGGTTTTGGTTTGCATTTCCCTGACAGTTAGTGATGATAAGCACCTTTGCCTTGTACCCGTTGGTCATTCATATGTCTTCTTTTGAGAATTGTCCATTTAGGTCCTTTGCTCACCTTTTAATCAGGTTATTTGCTGATATTTTCTCCCATTCCATAGGGAGACTAATTATAAAGAATTGGCTCACACAATTATGGAAAATGGCAAGTCCCCAGATCTTCAGTTGGCAAGTAGGAGACCCAAGAGAGCAGGTGACACACCTCCAGTTTGAAAGCTGACAGGCCCAAGACCCAGGAGGAGCCAATGTTTTAGTTTGAGTCCAAAGGCAGATAAAAATTAGTGTCCTGGTCTGAAGGCAGTCAGACAGGAGTTCCCTCTTACTCAGCCAGCCTTCAACTGATCGGATGGGGCCCACCCACATTGCGGAGGGCAATCTGCTTTACTCATTCTGCTGATTCAAATGTTAATCTGACCTAAAAATACCATCCCAGACACACCCGGACATAATGTTTAACCAAATATCTGGGCAACCTGCATGATGAAGCTTGGGGAAAAAAAACCAAATATCTGGGCACCCCAAGGCCTAGTCAAGTTGAAACATAAAACTAAATATCATAAGTCCGCCCTGTGTCAACTTGGCACCCACATACATCTCCTTAAACCATACTTAATCTCCAAGTAAAGACAATAACAAGATCACCTGATCAACTATCCTGTATACAACTAAAAACACACAACCCTTCCCGATAAGAGGAGGTGAAGTCATTGAGTAAGGTTTACACTTCTGGGTATCCTATAACTTAAATTCTATGAAGTAAAGTTAACAATCCTTAAATACTGTAAGTTGATACATCTTGTTGCATGATAAGGAAATGAGAGATAATAAAACAAAGATATTTGCTATATATATTAAT